TACAGGAGACTGATACCTAAGGCTTTTACAGCTTTCTCAGGAAATTGAAACTTAACCTAGATAGACAGGAAGGGGAAAGGGGAGGGGGAAGCAGTAAGACGCATACAGAACAGAAAATGAGGTGCAATGGTTAAAACTAGGTTACAACAGTTTATGATACTGAGATTTGAACACAAGGCCTTTGTGCTGACCTAATTTCACCCTATTTGTGATGTTTCATTTTGGAGCAAATTGATTCTCAAATGTCATGTGGCCCAGGATGAATTCAAACTTGTTATCCTTCTGTGCCTCACCACTGGAGTGCTGGGATTACAGGGTGTGTGACCACTCTTGAGCTGTGTTTCTTTTCTGTGTTTTGGGTTTTTGTTTGTTTATTTGGTTTCCATTTTGGGAAGGCACTAAGTTGCCATATTGTCTTAGCTAAGAACAAATATTATGACATCTCTAACTGGTAATTTTTGAGGGTGTCATGAGAAGATTCTCAGTGAATCACCATGTTGTCTTAGCTGGAAAAAAATTTCATTACATTCCATGAATCTTTTTTTAATTCTCACAAAGTCACCAAGTTCCTGGGGCCAGATCGGAACTTGTGATCATCCCAACTCAGCCTAGTAGATGATGGAATAATATCCATGCACCACAAATCCTGGTTTATACATTTTTAAATAATTTTTCCCGTTCACTAAAATTATTGATTACTAACTTTGTGGTGGTATGAATGGATAAATCAAAGTTTCTTTTAACAAATAAGTGTTATTCAGTACTTGAAGTAGATTAGCTTGGTATGGTGGGGCATGCCTATAATCCTAGCATTTGGAAGGATGAGGCAGGAGGATCTCCAGGAGTTCAAGGCCAGCCTGACCTCTAGACCAAGACTATTTCTCCAAAAACAAAGTAAAAGAAAAACATGTGGATCTGTCTCATGCACATTTTCATCTTAAGTGGTAAATTTCACACATGTGAGAATGTGTGGGAATCTACATCTCAGTATTTGCCATGCTAACTTTATTTTCATTCATTTATTTACTGTCTTTTTGAGACAGGGTCTTGTTATGCATTTCTGGTTGGCCTTCACCTCACTTTGTATCCCAGGCTGGTCTGGAACTCTAACAATCTTCCTGCCTCAGTCTCCCAACTGCTGGCCCTGAAGGCCTGCACCACCACATTCAGCTCCATCCTAATTTTAAAGTGCTCAAAACTATTGATACATGAATTTCACCAGTACTCACTAGAAATCTTTTGGTGGTGCATGAAATGGCTTTGACCGAGGAGAAAGGGAGAAAGGGAACTACATTTCTGTTGACTTGGAAGTTTGTAGTAAGTAGATGATTGTTTTAGCTATTGTAGTGGAGAGCTTTCTTTTACTTTGTTTTTGGAGAAATAGTCTTGGTCTAGAGGTCAGGCTGGCCTTGAACTCCTAGAGATCCTCCTGCCTCATCCTTCCAAATGCTAAGATTATTGGCATGCACCACCATACCAAGCTACATCTGAGAGATTATAAAGAAGGGGTCAGCTATGTACTCTCATAAAATCAGCATGGATTTGGAGCTGTATTGAGGTTTGGGGTCAGACATGTAACATGTACTCAGAACAAGGCATCAGAAAACTTTGTTTTTATGTTTTGGTTTGCTTTTCATTTGTAGTTTCGGCTGAGTTAGCCTTAAACTCACTCTGTGGCCCGGGTTGGCCTTAAATTCCCAGGGACCCTCCATCCACACCTTCAGACTGCTGGGCTTACAGGTGTGGCCACCACACCTGGCTGACATCAGCAACTCCAAGGGGCACACCAGAGTTTGCCTAAATCTATCCTGAATTACTGAGCAAAGTGCTCACTCATCCTCTACTTGCTGGTGAGGAGACTGAGGAAGGTTAAGGCATCTGCCCACACAGCTCCCATAGGGCATCACCCAGAGAGAAAGTGGGGAGGAGAGGAAGTCCTTATGGTCCATCCCTCTTCAATTGCCCCCAGCCTCCAGCTCCCTGGGAGCCTCAGTCCCTCGGGGGTCCATCTCCTCCTCCCCTCTTGTGTGTTCTACCCTCAGACTTGGCTCCTCCACTCTCCCACCTCCACCTGCATCTCTAAAGATGAAAACCTCAGAGTCCTCATTGTCCAGTCGTGGGTGACAAAGGAGCCTCTGGGAAGGGTGTTTGAAGACTGGGGTATAGCAGAGTGTGATGTGGAAAGCTGGGAGTCACAGCAGTGGTCATTTATTTCTGCTTCATGAATGAGCAGGACAAGCCCATGCTGGGACTAGGGATGGGGTGGGTAATAACAGGGGATGCAAACCTTCCCCAGATTCGCTGGAGAGAATGGAAAGTGAGCAAAGAGTAAGAAACATTGCAGAAGCATAGATGCTTAGGATTCTGTGCAGACTCCCTGCTATCCTTCACCCCAAATCCTAGTTCAAGCTGGAAATCACAGTAGTACCTCCCTCAAAGAATGAATGAGGAAGCCAGGTGTGGTACACATCTATAATCCCAGCATTCAGGAGGCTGAGGCAGGAGGATGGTTGAGACAGTGGGCTACAAAGTGAGTTCAAAGCCAACCTAAAGTATAAAATGAAGCTGTGTCTCAATAAGGCAAAAAAGGGGGGAGGCGAATAGGTTCACTTGTGAGCTCATTCACAGGTGAGGAAATCTGAGGTTGACCATTTGACCAAAGCCACACAAGACACAGTGGTGGACAGTAGAATGCTGGTAATGCCTGTTACCCAAATTTCCACAATCCAAACTATCATCCTGCTCTCCACTGTGCTCTCCAGAATTTTCCTGTTTTGATAAGCTCATTGATCTCCTCTCCCTCTTTCTAAAATATAGAGAAGCCTTTCCTGTCCTCTTGGGGTCTAAGAAGGTTTATAATTGTAATCCTAAGGAACAGTTATTAGAATTCTAGTGAGTTAATTCCAGTCTACACTTCCCATATATCCCATGGCAAGAAGATTGACACTGGGACATGTGTACAGTTATAGGGATCCGAGGGGTCCTAAGTCCAGCCAAGGTGGTGGTTCCCCAGCATGACGCCTCCACCCAGAGCCCTTTCCAGGTCTTATCAATTCCTCCTGAAGGGAGTGGCTCAGGGATGAGTGACAGTGAGAGTGGTAGGAAGTGCATGGCTGCCCCGAGCTGGGCTAGGTAGGAGGTCTGAGATCACCTCTGCCAGGAGCAGAGGGCAAGAAATGCAGAGAAAGCAATCTGCATAACACATTTGAGGCGTGTCTAACAATTTGGGGTTGGTGCTTCAGTTCTGATGTACAATCCTGTTTGCCCTGGGAAGTCACAGCCTCTTCTCAAGGTTTGGAGTCAGCCCACAGCATGGAGCACAGCTCTCCATCCCACCCAGATCAATCACAGATTTGGGGAGTAACTGGGTGGGGTAACACTGACCTGTCCCTTTGCTTTAGATATTATACATCAGCTGCCCAGCCAGCCAATTTACATTGCTTAAAGTCAATTGAAGGGACAAGGAAATGGCCTATCTAGCTATGTGTATATCAATACATGGAGACGGGGAAAAGTTTATCCACAATGGAAATAGTGGCTCCTCTTTTCAAGGAGAGTAGTCTCTGGTTCCCCCCACTAAATCACTTCTTTCACCTTTCCATGCCTCAGCTCCACTAACTTCTGATTCACGTACAGAGGAATCCCAACTTGCAGTTTATGTGCCTAGAGCTCCTGGGAATTGTGAAAAACCATCCTTTTTATATATGGTCAGGAAAATGCCTATAAATGCTTGGCTTTGTGGTTTAGGTTCAAAATATATTTCTCCCACAGTTGTGTAATTTAATTTATAAATATTGTTAATAAAACGTTAGAAGGTGAAGGGTGTGGTTTTTGTTTTGTTCTGTTTTTTCTTTTCTTTTTGAGACATGGTCTCACTTTTGCTGTTGAGGCTGATCTTGAGCTCACTTTGTGGCCCAAGCTAGTGTCAAGCTTGCAAAGATTTTTATGTTTCAGCCTCCTGAGTACTGGTATTATAGTCAGGCACCACCACACCTGGCTGGTGAAGGGTATTTTGTAGGCATCTTAAGGATCTCTGGGATTTAAGAAGATGAAAACTGAGAACATGTGGGAGAGTTACACGCTTTATAGCAATCAGTTATGATGCAGGAATGCTGATGCATCTGCCAGAGATGGTCACAGTGCAGCAGCAGCCACTCAGCAGCATGGAGCACTGCACAATGGTTTTAGATTGGCTATTTGGAGGTCTCACACAATAAAGCAGTTGCAAAGGATATTTGGGGTTTCCATGAAACTGAGGGGTTTCTATGATCAATTATTCCCTCTGCTCTCAAAGGACTCTGCGCCATAGTGTCATGGAGGTACACTGTATTTTCATCTAAACAGACATTTTTCACCTAAGAAATTCCCAAACCAGCTGCTGACAATGCTGTGTGTTTATCCACTGAGTTTCTGTTTCCACTGCCAAGTAGCAGATAACTAAGGAACCAAAAGTGGTGGTGGACATATCAGATCTGTCCCTGCTCCTGCCAGCTGTGGGCTAGTCTATCATTATTGAAATGAATATTTATGACATTCATTTTGTAGTCTGTGTATTTGTTTTAGCAGGCTCATTTGAGAAGGGATAAGTTAGAGACTGGACCATATGACTTTTCCATTTTTTTGGTTACATTTCCTTGGAGTGAGCATGAGAATATTTTTCCCCAACACGTGGGAGTCAGTTTCCAATTTCCTGGCTCCTATTTTGCAGTGGGTCCAGAGTTCAGGGCTCTCAGTTGGAAAAGGATCTATTGCTCTCACCTTGCTTCATCTGAGTACTAGCAGACAGTCTTCCTGGTGACCTTACAGGTGGCAGCAGTCCTTTGGGAATGAGCACAAACTGATTTGGACAACTGAGGTCTCTGCTACCCTCCTTGCATCGGGGATTTTTTGGCAGCACATTTGTTTCCTGATGGGTGCAAATGGGTGTCTCAGCCAACACTGAAAGGATGTCTCTTTTCTCCATGTCTCCCCAGCACTCCTGGCCTCCCAGATTCACCAGGATGAGCATCCAGTCCCCACACAGACTACTGAAACTGGCCATTCAGAGTCTGCTGACAGACAAGGCATTGGCCATGAGGGCTGTGGAAGATTTGCCAGGGGAGCTCTTCCCACCAGTGTTCATGGAAGCCTTCACCAGGGGACACAATGAAGTCCTTAAGGCCATGGTGATGTCCTGGCCCTTTCCCTACCTGCCCCTGGGAGCTCTGACCAGCATGTGGAAAAGAAAGAACTTAAACACTCTGGTGGATGTTGCCCAGGTGCAGAACAGGATGATACAAGCTGTGCTGGGTGGTGTCGATGTGCTGCTGAGCCAGAAGCTTGGTTCCAGGTGAGTGTAACCCAGGTGTCCTGCAGGGAGGGCCATGGAATTTGAGTCAGGGACTGAAAGTGCCAGGGGTAGGAGGGGCTAAAGAGTAAAGTAGAGGCTTCTGATGCTGACAGACACAAGGTAGAGAAGCCTTGCCCACTCTAAGCCACTGAGACATCCAGAAAGGGAGGACAGCTAATGTTGGAGGCAGTAGTTAAAGAGAAAGGAGTCCCTGACTCCTGCCATAGGCACTAGAAGTAAAAACTGGACACATCCAAAGGGCAGCAGAAAAAGAAAATAGCAATAGACTCCAGAGTTGTGGAAATCACAGGAGGAAACAGGGTCCCAGGCTCAATTCTCAAGACTCCTTCCTGATCTACCCACAGGAGGTTGAAATTGCAAGTGCTGGATATGCGGGATGAGAATCAGGACTTCTGGAGAGTCTGGGCTGCAAATGAGTTGGAAGCCTGCTCCTCAGAAGTCATGAGGAAGAGAAAAACAGAGGAGATTCCACCAAGGGTAGCAAAACAGCAGCCACTTACAATGATTTTAGATCTGTGGCTCAGTCAAGACTATCTGAGTCCATCCCAATCCTACCTCCTCAAGTGGGCCCAACAGAGGGAAGACCTAGTGCAGCTGGATTGTACAAAGTTGTGTATTACAACTAGGTGCTTTGAAATGATCACGGAGGTCTTGGAAATGCTGAACCTTGATTCTGTGCAGGAGTTGAGTGTGGGTCATTACTGGACACTATATACCTCGGCTTCTTTTGCCCCTTTTCTGGGTCAGATGCGAAATCTTCACAAGTTAGTTCTGTGTGATGTCTCTGTGGTTCCTATTCCCATCATTCACCCAGAGAAAAGAGATCAATGGCTCACCCAAATCATGTCTCAACTTCTTAAGCTTGAACATCTGCAAGAGATTTATATGAATTCTGTCTCTTTCATGGAAGGCCACCTGGACATGGTACTCAGGTAAGAACTGGAAGTTTCTCTGAAAAGTCATAAAAGCCTTTCTCTCTTCTAAAAAGATTAGGGAACATATGCAGTGTACCATCCATGGGGGATGTGACAGAGATCTAGCACTGGAGTACCATCACATTGCTTTTTTCATTCCTTAATCCTATAAAATGGTGTCACATAGCCATCACATGGAATAGACAGAAAGGAAAGGGCTACCCTGCCAGAAAGCCAGGAGATGGGGATCTGATATTGTGAGAGCAGGTGTGTGATTTCATCCTCAAGAAGCCTATCTAGCATGAGGAGCTGATAAACACCAGGGCCTTTCTCTGATCCTCTTAACAGTCACCATGAAACACCTCTGCCCCATGGTGGGCCAATCACCAGATGGGAAGTATAGGAGTCTGCAGATGATGGCAAGGAAGAGAGGTCCAGGACAGGGAACAAGGACACAAAATCTGCTGAGAGCATTTTGGGCAATCTGTGTCTTTGCCAGATCTTGCCTGATTTTTCCTTTCTGCTTGTGTCCTGTCACCCCCATCAGGAAAGAGCTGTGGTTTTTTGCTTGGGTGTGAGGAAGAGGACTGCCAAGATTAAAGACCCAGCCACTCAAGCAAGTGGTGGAAGTGCCATGCTTAAGTTGGGCTGACTCAAACAGCACTTGGTCCTCCATGTTGCTGTTTCCCACCAGTCCCTACTTTTCACCACCAAGTGCAGAGTCTAACCAATTGGTCTCTCTGCAGGTGCCTGACGTGCCCCTTGGAGACCCTCTCATTAACTCACTGCCAGCTTTCACATACTGACTGGAACAGGATGCCCCACTTGGAAATCACCAGACACCTAAAACACTTGGATTTGAGTTACACCAGTCTGACTGACTTCAATCCAAAGACACTCCAAATTCTCCTGGATAATGCTGCAGCCACTCTGAGCATCCTGCATTTGGAAAATTGTGGGATCACAGATGCACAGCTCTGTGCCTTATTGCCTGCCCTGAGCTGCTGCTCCCAGCTCACTGCCTTCTGCTTCATAAGGAATTTCATTTCCATAGACACCATGAAGAGCCTGTTGTGCCACACCGCCAGGATGAGCAACTTAAGGCTGGAACTACACTCTGTTCCTCAAGAGGTTTACATTCCCTGGCATGATGTCAACCAGCAGATACAGAACCATGTTCAGGAAACAATGAGGAGCATCATAAAGCCACTAAATCATCCTAGGACAGTCTGGTTTTGTGTTTGTCACTGTGCACTCTGTTGCACCTCGCCACTGCATAAAATTCACCTTAGTCCATGCCCTGCCTGTGTCCCTGTCTAGCTGAATATGCATATCATATGTTTCCTTATGGACCCCAGGAACCCAGAGCTCTTCTGTCACTATGAGTGAGACAAGGACAGCATGCAGCAACTTTGGAGAATCACTGACTTGAGAGCAGAAGTGACCTTTGTGTACCTGGGGCCTAGACAGAATCAGAAATAGGAATTTGAGTTTGTAGATGTAAATTCAGACTTGAGATAAATGTGTGAATAAATGTAAAGAAATGATCAGAAATAAAGAGAATGTGAGTCATCTGGTTTCCTTCTTCTTCATTTTATCTGACTTCCAGATTAGAGATCATGAATCTCAGTGACTGAGGGGGAAAAGTGCCTGAGCTCTTTGATGAATGAGGTCTGGCCTCAGGAACTCACAACAGCAAGCAGAGATACTCCATACTGTGCATTCCCTTCCCATCCTTTACTTTTCTCTAGTCATACATTACCTCCATGTTTCCTGGTTTTTCTCCCCCTTCCTAACGTGCACATGTTGCAGAACTCATCTTAGGGCCTTTCCACTGAGATGCAGCCATAGAGATTTTTGATTCCAGACAATGTCCTTCTGAATGTCTGGGCTAGGCTTGCCCTTGTAAGTGCTAATGCATGAGAAAGTTACGCTGCCAGGATGGACCTTTATACTTGCTGTTTTACTCTTCATTTCTTTTTTAAAAATTTGATTTAAAGAGAAAAAATAACAAAACAGTAAAAGGGTACAATAATACAGAATTTCAGAAAAATAATAAGAAATCACTAGTTAATATGTTACATATTGTAGTCTTAGAAATAGTTGTTTAAGTTACAAAATTAAAGCATACAAAGTGGACATTCAAACAGTGAGACTGCAAACAGTTGTGTTCAATGATCCAACAAAAACTTAGTAATATTTTCATTTCTCTTACACACCTACACACACTTGCAGTTCTATCCTTTAGACTACTTTCTTTTCCTCTTTTTTTACAATAACAATTACACATTTTGGGTTTTATTACTCCCACAGTTCTTATTACATTTTTTTGGAAGACAATAAAACCAAATGTGACAAAACAAAGCAGAGTCAATCAAAACAAAGGATGGACATAATACATGATATAAAAACAGAATACAAGGTGATCAACAATGGTTACCATAATGCCTCTTGCTAACTTAAAAAGAATTGCCTATATCATCAGGTATAATAAATTTGCATGAAACAGTATAGAACAAAACCAAACAAACTGAAACATTGAAAACATTACAGGATTTCAAAGGAAGATAATGGTTAAACCAGAATGGGCATCACAGTGACTCTTACTGCCTTCAAAGTAGTTGCCTATACTCTCAAACTTGATACTATCAAACAAAACAGAATAGAGTAAAATCAGTCAAAACAAGATGGTGAGAGCAATACGGTGCTTCAAATCAAGTTAATAGCAAATCAAAAATGTTACTATAATATATACTGCTAATTTTATTTTTCCCTTAATTAAAAATAATTAGGCACTTGGAGAACTGTGGAGCTTCCAATGGGTGGGCGGGCACATGCTATCCCCAGAGCCCAGCCTGTTTGGGACTCCCGCACCTCACCATCAGTGTGCAGAGGAGGGGCTGGGCAGATCTGGGGTGCCGGTATCAGCCTCCCTGTGTGTTTGGAGGACGGTGAACGTCTCAGTGGGCAGTGGAGCATCCTAGGTTCCCCAGGCACTGCGGCCTGTGGTGAGTGCTGAGCGCACTCTGCCCAAAGCCTAGACTGTTCAGGACCCTCCAGGCTTCTGGGTGCAGTGAAGTGGAGAAGTGGGTTTGAGACCTCTACATCCAACTCCCCATCCTGGCTGCACTTGGAGAACTGTGGAGCTTCCAACAAGTAGGCGGGTGCACACTATCCCCTGAGCCCAGCCTGTTTGGGACTCCCGCACCTCACCATCGGTGTGCAGAGGAGGGGCTGGGTGGATCTGGGGCACCTGCGTCAGCCTCCCCATGTGTCTGGAGGACTGTGGATATCTCAGTAAGCAGGGGCGGATCACAGGTTCCAGAGGCACTGCGGCCTGTGGTGAGTGCTGAGCGCACTCTGCCCAAAGCCTAGACTGTTCAGGACCCTCCAGGCTTCCGGGTGCAGTGAAGTGGAGAGGTGGGTTTGAGACTTCTACATCCTCCTCCGCATCCCGGCTGCACTTGGAGAGCTGTGGAGCTTCCAACGGGCAGGTGGGCGCACAGTGTCCCTGAGGCCCAGCTTATCTGGAACTGCAGAGTTCTGAACAGGCAGAGGAGGGCCATTGGTTCTGCAGGCCCAGTGGCTTGGGGTAATGGGGTGTGAGAGTCCAAGGTGCTGGGAACATAGAAGGGGATTGCCAACAGACCCCGAGGAAGCTTTCAAATAACACTTAAAACACAGAAATATAGGAAAATGACAAAACAAAAGACCAAATTACAACCTCAAACCTACAGCCTATCTAAAGAAACCCTAGGAGCAATGTATATACAAGAAAATATACGCCATTCACCTCAAATATCGGATACAATAGCTACTGAAATTAACAAGCAACTCCAGGGAGCTTTAAAGAAATTCAAACTCGAAATAATCTGCCAGGTAAAAGAAGAAATGATAAAAGAAATGAAAGAGATTGTGAATATATCTAAAGAAAACACAGATAAAAAATTGGAGGGACTAAACAAAAAGATAGAATCCCTAGATGAGCAATACAAGAAACAAACAGAATACAAAGTGCAGATGCACAGAGATATAAAGGAAATAAAAAACTCCACTGAAAGTTGTAAAAACCGCCTTAATGAAAGTGAAGATAGAATTTCAGACCTTGAAGACAGGATTGCAGATAGTGAACAGGAAATGAAAGATCTTTTAAAAATAACAAGGAATCAGGAAACAACAATTCAACAACTGCAAGACGATGCAAAGAAAAATAACATAAGAATGACAGGGATTAATGAAAAAGAAGGAGACAACATAAAGGATGTCAAGAGGATATTTAGAGAAGTAATAGCTGAAAATTTCCCAAGCAGGAGATCAGAAACCGACATCAGGATCAGTGAACATATAGAACTCCAAATAGTCATAACCAAGATAAAACTACACCCAGACATATAATAATCACCATCCCAGAAATCCAACACAAGAATACATTATTAAAAGCTGTCAGAAAAGAAAGATCACTTATAAAGGAAAACCTACCAGATTCACAGCAGATTTCTCAGCACAAACAGTAAAGTCAAGAAGAGCATGGAGTGAAGTATTCCAAATCCTAAAGCAAAATGATTTCCCACCTAGACTGATGTATCCTGCAAAACTATCATTCAAAATGGATGGTGAAATACAATACTTCCATGACAAAGAACAGCTGAAGAACTTCATGAACACCAAACCAACCCTGCAAAAAATATTGAAAGATAGTTTAGATACACAAAGGAAAAAACCACTAAGCAAAGCAGATAATTAAACAGAACAGAAAGATAAAGATGCAACAGCAGAGAGATAACATGTCAACAATAAACCAGCATTTAACAGTAATACCCATTAATGTAAATGGTCTCAATGCACCAATCAAAAGAAACAGACTAGCAGAATGGATCAAGAAACAACATCCAATCATATGCTGTTTACAGGAAACCCATCTAACCCAGAAGGATACTCACAGACTGAAAGTCAAGGATGGAAAACAATACTTCATGCAGCAGGAATCCAAAAAAAGGCAGGAGTAGACATTCTGTTTGCAGACAACGTGAACTTTAAACCAACAATGACCATAAAGGACAAAAAAGGTCACTACATACTCGTAAGGGGAAAACTCCAAGAGGAAGAGATAACTATCTTAAATATATATGCACCAAAATCCAGAGCACCCATTTATATAAAACAACTATTAAAAGAAATGAAAAGTCAAATTATCAGTAACACAATTGTAACAGGAGACCTTAATATGCCATTGACACCAAGGGACAGATCAACCAGACAGAAAATGAGCAAAGAAATAACAGAACTGAGTCACACCTGTGAACAAATGGGTTTGATAGACATATACAGAATGTTCCACCCAACAACATCAGAATACACATTCTTTTCAGCAGTACATGGATCATTCTCTAAAATAGACCATATATTAGCTCACAGAACATATTTAAACAAATGCAAAAGAGTTGAAATCATCCCTTGCATGTTATCAGATCATAGCGCTCTGAAATTAGAAATTAATGATAAAAGATACTGCAAAAATCCCACAAATACATGGAAACTGAATAACACACTCTTGAGTAATCAGTGGGTCACAGAAAAATTAAAGAAGAAATTAAACAATACCTAGAAGAAAATGAAAATACAGATACAACTTAATGGAATCTGTGAGATGCAATGAAAGCCGTCCTCAGAGGAAAATTCATTGCACTGAGTTCCCACATCAGGAAAACAGAATGAATACAAATAAATAACTTGATGCTACACCTCAAACAGCTAGAAAAAGAAGAGCAAGTCAAGCCCAAAGCCAAAAGAAGAGAGGAAATTATAAAAATCAGAGCAGAAATCAATGCAATAGACACTAAGAAAACAATCAAAAATCAACAAATCAAAGAGTTGGTTCTTTGAAGGAATAAATAAAATCGATAAGCCCCTAGCCAACCTTATTTTAAAAAGGGAAGAAAAAGCTCAAATTCATGCAATAAGAAATAAAAAGGTGCAATCACTACAGACCCAATAGAAATACAGAAGATCATCAACACCTATTTCGAAAACCTCTACTCTCAAAAGTTTGGTAACACAGAAGAAATAGACAGATTCTTAGAAACATATGAAGTACCAAAGCTAGATCTTGAGGATGTAAAACTGTTGAATAATCCAATCTCTGTTAATGAAATTGAAAATGTAATTAAGTCCTTACCTACAAAGAAGAGCCCAGGCCCAGATGGATTCACTGCAGAATTCTACAAGAAATACAAAGAAGACTTAATGCCGACACTCCTCAAACTATTCAATGAAATTGAAAGGGAAGCAATCCTTCCTAAGTCATTCCTGGAAGCAAATAT